CACGGGTGCCTGTGGGAGAGGAGAGGGGCTTTTTGCTGGCGGTGCCGGGATTGTGGTAAACCTTCCAGCGTTTCTCTCGCCCGCGGGCTGTGTTGGCCTGTGGGTTTTGCGGGTCGTGGCTTTGCTGGGCTTGTCAATGACGTGCTCAGAGCCAGGCGAGGAGTTAACAGAGGGAGCAATTGACTTGTGCTTCTCTTATAACAGGATCACAGGATGGTGGGGTTTGGCAGGGACCTCTGTGGGTCACCCTGCCCAACCCCCTGCCCAAGCAGGGTCACCCAGAGCAGGCTGCACAGGACCGCGTCCCGGCAGATCTTTAATATCTCCAGAGAAGGGAAGAACAGGGGGATGGCCCACCATTGCAAATCAAGTCATCTCCGGGACATGATGGAGGCCGCGCAGCCAGAGGTTGCTTAAACACTTGTCCCCCCTGAGTACACAGCAAGATGCCCGCTGCATAGGGCCCAGGCCCACTTGTGTTGACACGACATGCGGAGGGCTGCGAGGATGATGAGGGAACTGGAGCGTCTCTCCTGTGAGGAAAGGCTGAGGGAGCTGGGCTTGTTCAGCCTGAAGAAGAGAAGGCTGAGAGGGGACCTTATCAATGCCTACAAATATCTGCAGGGTGGGTGTCAGGAGGACGGGGCCAGACTCTTTGAAAATGTCTACCATTGAATATATTCTATATAGTAGGTGCAACAGCAGCAATGTTGAAAATACTGCATAAAATAATAAAATACTGATGGAGCACTGGAACAGGTTGCCCAGGGAGGCTGTGGAGTCTCCTTCTCTGGAGATATTCAAGACCCACCTGGAAGCGGTCCTATGCAGCCTGCTCTGGGTGACCCTGCTTGGGCAGGGGGTTGGGCTGGGTGACCCACAGAGGTCCCTGCCAACCCCAAACATTCTGTCATTCTGTGACTTTCCATGCCGAGAGCAAATCGACACACAATAATTCATTTAGTCCCACCTCATCAAAAGATTTTCAAACGTATAAAAACTGGCACTTGAAAACTCTCTTTGGGGAGGAGGAGCCAAGCGAGAACTTCACCTGATGGACGGGTCGATGGGCCTGAACCTCTCTTCCACCTCCCCAAGAAGGGACGCCTTTTCGGTAAGAGTCGTGCCTCTGACTTTGTCAGACATATGCCCGGGAACACATGGTTAACTAAAGTGCCAAACTATTACCTTGAGCTCAACTTTTGCAGACAGTGCGTTTATCAATGGCAATCCCAAATCTGTGATACCTGTCACTTGAATGAATTACCTGTTGTGAATAAATTACCTGTTGTTTCAACTTTGCAGAACTGTTTCAGTGAAAGTCCTTGGAGAGGCTCTGACAGGACAACGTTGAATCTGATAAGTGGCTACACACTTAACCCTTTAGACATAAACCATCAACCAAGTCTGGGACTAGGAGTAGATCCAGCTGCACCTAGGGGAAAGACCTCTCAGCTCATCCAGTCCAACCGCCACCCCAACCCCACCATGCCTGCTAAACCGTGTCCCCAAGTGCCACATCTACACGGTTTTTGAACCCCTCCAGGGATGGCGACTCCACCACCGCCCTGGGCAGCCTGGGCCAACGCCTGACCGCTCTTTCAGTGTTTTTTGAACACCTACTCCTGCGAGATCTCAGCCCATCTTCTACCCTCTCCTAGCAAGGGTAGAAACCCGTTTCTACCTCTCCTACCAGCGCAGGCATGAGCTGAAAGCCTCAGAGGGAACAGAGGCACGGGCAAAGCTGGGCTTCCAGAAAGGGGGTGCTCAGCGCACGGAACACTCACTTTCCTCTGCCGTTCTGGGCTTCGAAGTCCACAAAAAGGAACAATTTAGGGGTTTTTTTTCCCCTCCTCCTTAACCCTGGTGCACGTTACAACTTCACAAGGAAAAATAGCTCCAAAACCAACACTGCACGGCAAAGATTCACTGCATGCTGCCCGGGATACCGCGCCAGCTCTCCGTTGAGATGGCCAACAAGCCACAGTCTCCGAGTTACTCAGGGCCCAGAGGTCTCCCACCACCCCAGCTACTCAAACCACCCAGGCGTATCTAAAAGCCACCACGCGACGTCCAGATCGAGTCCAGATCCCACCCAAAGATCATCACAAGATTTGATTTCCACTGAGGGAGCTGGGGCTGTTTAGTCTGGAGAAGAGGAGGCTGAGGGGAGACCTTCTCACTCTCTACAACTACCTGAAAGGAGGGTGGAGTGAGGGGGGGGGTGGTCTCTCCTCCCAGGTAACTAGCGATAGGACGAGAGGCGATGGCCTCAAGTTATGTCAAGGGAGGTTCAGACTGGACATTAGGAGAAATTTCTTTACTGGAAGAGTGGTCAGGCATTGGACCAGGCTGCCCAGGGCAGTGGTGAAGTCGCCATGCCTGGAGGGGTTCAAAAAACATGTAGGTATGGCACTTGGGGACATGGTTTAGCAGGCGTGGGGGTGTTGGGTTGCCAGTTGGACTTGATGATCTTAGAGGTCTTTTCTAACCTATGATTCTACGATACTATGATTTTCTATGCTTTTCTCACTTCACATCTGTGAGTGCTGCATTAACAACTACACAATTCATTAGAAAATTTAAGAACCAACAACTGTCAGAACAAGTTTTGACCAGTTGTGTGTAGAAATGGAGTCTTTGGTGTCTCGAGATGTTTGTGGAAGCTAAAAGAGGGACCCCTCTTTCGCAGCAGGACAGCTTGTGAAAAATGAGACCAGAGGGCTTGACTGTGTTGTAAACGCATCACAACTCGGTGGGGGAAGCTGTGTCATTGAATTGCCTACGTGGAGAACCTCCTTTTAAAGCTTCCTGCATGGCATGGCGTTCACGTGAACAAGCTGCCTTCTCAAAAGGCATTTTCCTTCCCCGAAATTAAATCTTTGGGAGATGTATACAGATCATGAATTACGTGGTGTAATTGGGTAGGCTTCCATCATGCAAATTCCATTTTCTGTACATATAACATGGAGTCAGCAAAGGGGTTTTTCACCCAAAACATTTCTAGACGCTTGTTTGTAATAAAACAAATCTGTGCTGTAGTACCTCTGCCTGGGTATCAGTATCTCCATTTTCATTCCTGTTTTGGTTACTTGGCAATTTACCACACTTCTGGCCGACGTTGGAGGACACGGTAGAACTCCAGTAGTTCCCTTTGACTGCAGACCCAGGGAAGGAGAAAGAAAATACTTCTGTGGAAGAAAGAAAATACTTTTGTGGAAATCACCATAAATTGAAATCAGGAGTACGTGCAGAACATAAAATATCTTAAAATACATCAGCGCAGATCCTCAAATCGGTTTTCCTCGTAGAAACCTTTAAATAGATATCCCACTGAGCTGGTGGCCACGTGAAAATCCATCTTGAGCAGCTTGAACATCGGAAGCTGGCACAAGAACACCGAGAGCCGAGAATAGCTGCCGGCCTTTCCCTGCTCCCGGGGGGGTCTTTCCCT